GGGGTGGATTAGTTCAATTTTGATAATTAATTTGCAACGTTAACAGGCCAGATTCACTAGAAATAGGCCTACCGTACTCATCGATCCTCTACCAAGGGAATTCGGCCAGGACGAAGCCGACTGTAATAAAATTAAAGGAAATTACCTCCCAGTTGCAATTATTGGGAGTAGAGCTGCCTTAATTATTAAACTTGTGTAGCATTTATTATTATCCATCAAATACAGGCCTATTATTATTATATGCTGTTTTTCTTTTTGGTTTTGATACTGCATCTCTGGTTAAAATGCAGCCAAGTTCAGGGCTGATCTTATAAATAATACCATTTTATGAGATTTTAAATGTTCTTCATAACTTATTTCTCCCACCATTTTTAAAATTGCGTTCATTCATAGGCCTACTAACATTTTAGTATCTTTATTGTAGTAGTAACGGACGAACATGATTTTAAAAATCAAAATGTGTATGTCTGGCCTAGGCATATAAGAAGACGACCCCCGGTCCGTTTTTCGATCGTAATTCCTATTTTAAGCCTCGTCTTATACGCGATGTAGGCCCTATATAAGGTATTCATTTTTTATGTATATACAAACTGTAAGTTCCTAATATTCATTCGAATTTGTAGCTTTGCCAATTCCAAATCTAATTACAGGTATAAATACTAAGAATATTTGCATTAAAAACACCTACTTACACCCTCTTACACGACATTGAAATAGCGTTAATAATGCTTGGATCGCCGGAGCGCCAGGGGGCACTAGGCAGCCCGGGCCCCCAGTCAATTATCCTTTTCCAGAAAAAAGAATCCCACCACCCACACACACACAATCTAGCGTACGGCCCTGTATTCTTATTAATTTTGAAATCATTCTTCTTAATATTCTTATTCTTATTATTCTTCATATTCTTATAATAATAATAATGATAATAATAATATATTATTATTATTATTATTATTATTATTATTATTATTATTATTATTATTATTATTATTATTATTATTATTATTATTACTATTATTGTGTTTGGCTTATTATTATTATTATTATTATTATTATTATTATTATTATTATCAGGATTATGATTATTTAATATTAACAAATATCATCAAAGCCGAAAGAATAACTTTAACAAATATATAAACAAATATATGACGGACAAACTCTAAACCAAAATTATACTAATATAAATTGTGTTTCAGTATTATTACATTTAAAAACTTTTATCTAATATCATACGGTACCTACCAACTGTTCGAAGGAAGTTTATTCTTGTAAAATATACTGCAAACTGAAGAAATTGAAGCGACTACGTTTTCGACTGATGAACGATGATAGTACGAAATTATTTTCCTGGTTGAGAGCTTGTAAACTTTAAGAGCCGGACAAAACATAAGACATTAAGGTTCTTTCCATACCCCCTCATAAGATCCGTTTCTTAAATACATGTTAACAATGAAAATTTGTTTTCTATACCTGACATTTATCAAAATCAGTCTGCTTTATATGTTGATGTTTTACAGAAATCATAATTTTAATAAATTAAATTATGTAATTACGAAATGAAATACCCTTCTTATAATAATGGATTATACCACTATGTATTTACAAAAGATAATAATAATGGATTGTACCAGTATGTATTTACATAAGAACACAAACGAGAAAACAAGTTAGGCTTATAATATTCCCATGACACCCATACGCAAGCTTTTGTGTGACTTTTTTAACTTCGGTTCATTAGGATTTGTCTGTGTCATTGGGGGAATTTTTTGAATTGTTTTGAATACAAAACAACTGGGCCTGAGTTAATCCTTGTCACACAGTCAGGATTTTTTTCTTACAATCAAAATCGACTACATTTCCAAAGCCTGTCTCATAATCATACTTAGTCTATGTATGTGTTTCTTGTAAAAGAAACACATACATAGACTAAGTATGTGTTTCTTGTAAAAGAAGTTAAATAAATAAAAAGTAAAAGCTCATTATTATGTAATAACTATTAATGAGGTTAGAGTTGCTTTAATTATGAGAAGGTCTAAATTTGTGTAGCATTTATTATTATCAATACTAATATTAATATTTGATTTGAATTTATTATATTATTTATTATTATTATTATTATCATTATTAATATTAGGCCTATTATTATTATTGCTGTTATTATTATTATTATTATTGTTACAAATATCATCAAAAGCCTAAACAATAACTTAAACAAAAATTAATGAACAAGGAAGATTGACAAAATCTACTGCACCCTGAAATGTACTCTTACAAATTGTGTTTCAGTAGTAGTATATCACATTTAATAACAACCTTTTATGTATCATACTAATTAAACCGAATACCTGTTTGAAGAAAATTCTTGTAAAATAAACTGTGACTCCAAACTGAAAAAAATTGGAGCGAGTAGTATCATGCCGTTTATGTATTCACTCAAGAATACAAACGAGGAAACAAGTTAGACCTATGTAAATCCCATATGACACCCATTTTCTAAAGCAAACAAAAAATCTCGTGCAAACTTTTGTTGGACTTTTCAATTGTTTAACCTTGGACCAACCATGTGTATATCTGTATTTTTGGGGGGATTTTTTTAAATGTTTTCGGATGCACAATGGATATGCCTAGGTATAATTTACTGCTGGATATTGAATCAATAAATCCAATCAATATACTTTTTACTCATCCCACATGGGGAAATTATCAAAAAATAAACAAAACAAAACAAAACAAAAAACATACAAAAATTCTAAAGCAATTGACATATGCAGACAGTTTTGTCTGAATAGACGACGGTTGATCGATTTGTTTATCCATAATTATGATTTATTTCCTCCGTAGATATACTCATAAATACAAATCTAATTTAAGTCGATTTGGGAGTATTTATTGTTGAACTGTTGCTATTTTTTGAAAACTTTCTTCAAGTACTGTATATATTGTTTTGCGTATATTCGGGTGATCATTTTTTTTTATATTCTATTGAAACGTTATGAAATAGGGCCTACAGAACAGAGTAATTTGTATGACCATCGTTACGGTACTATTTTATATTATTGTACCATTTTCAAACAATTCTAATGTAACGCAATGATTAGCCCAACGAGTGGGGTGGGGTGGCTGACCCAGCCCTTCACTGCCAATAAATTTCACGAAACCACATAATGGTCTAAATGCTACATAATGTGATCAAGGAAAAGGTTCTAGGCTGCTTTCCCCCGGGATATTTTCCACCGGTATTTTTCCCCGGACATTTCCCCCGTGACAATTTCCCCCGGACTTTTGCCCCCCCCCCCCCCTTACATCTCCTCATATATAATTTCAGTTATACATTTTAATTTATAATACATTTTCTATTTCTATTTTACTTAATTTTAAGGAAATAGTTATTCCTACGATATTCATAGTGTAATAAGATAGCAAGGATGATTGGTAAGAACTAATTTTTGCCCAGGCTCTTTAGTGTTTATATCTTTTGCCGATTTCAGTCTTAAAATATTCTTATTTCATTTGTATTTCTACACACTTTTCAAACATACAAAATTATTATTTTACAGCAGTATATTACCGTATTATAGGGTATTACCATAAGACTTATTCCTCCATGGTATTATTTATAGTCACTTTATTCCTCCGTTTCTCCAAGTTGTATCTCAACAAAGGATGCGACGTGGTGTATGTTCAGATAAACCCTTACAGCTTCTGCGTCCAACAGTTGGTTCGCAAAAGTTTGCTGAGAAACTGGTCGGACTTGTGCAAGACTCGGGACACAGTACTTGCCAGTTTCACATATTCTTGATACAACAATACATAATATGATATTAATATCATTATAAGTATATTAGTATTGTTCACACATATTGGTTAAGTAAGCTAGAAAGGATTATAGGTCGCAGCTGGGAAATTATAGTAAAAAATCTCACCAGAGACACCTTTTTCATATAACTGAAAAAAGGGAACTTGTTGTTGAGCTATGCTTGATTGATAGATTGTTACAACATGTTACTATTTGAGCATTGTTATTATTATTTATCTATTTGTTTATATCGTTTACGGTGCGTACGCAACAACTTGATTTGAATATTATTTACTATGATTTCCTAGCTGCGACCTATAAGCCTTTAACCACAGCTTCACTACGTGTGAGCGTCAGTCAGTTGTATGAAGAAAAAGTAGGCCCTATCTAGTGGGTTAGAACTGCACGATATCGTATTGGTCTTTGTGATATTTGCTCAACTGTATACTTTTGTTTTGGTCGGCAAAAGTATGCGTCAAGGGCCCCGACTATTCTTAAATTAATTTTGTATAATAGTCTTTTTTTAATGGGATTTCTGACCTGTCTAGATAGTAATCTTCAGATTTGTTTTGTATTTGATTTTTGTCTCTACTGTCCTCAGGCAGTAAAAACTTTGCTATCCTGGTCAATCCGGAAGCGTAAAGTTGACATTGTGAGCGTAAAGTTGACATTCACAAAAGTGTGAAGTAAGAATCTGGAAGTGTAAAGTTGACATTATGTCACATTCCTGATGTGTGATATGACGTGATTTTACTACTACCCGTAAACTCGGTCGTGTGTGGTACGATGCATTGCTAGCCAATCTGTCATTAAATATCAGGCGCACAGTTCCGAGAAAGTTGGAAGTTAAAATTAAATCGAGTAGAAGTGGTTAAACGGGTCAACAGTTAAACTCAGATCGAGACTGTTTTGCTTGTGGTTGTTTCCGGGTTTTTTTTCTACCCTAACTCGGTGGTTTTTGAGTTGATGCTAGCTTATTAACAATATCAATCATCAGTCAGACTGCACAAATTGGAAGCTTGGATAATAATAAAAAGCACCGTTTCTATTAAATTTGGCAGTAGACATACGCTCCCGCTGCGAGCCTATTTTTATATGTTGCCTGGAAATAATAAGTGAATGAATGATTGAAAGAATGAAAGAATGAGAGAATGAAAGAATAAATAAATTATATTAATTAATTAATTAATTAATTCATTCATTCGTTCATTATTCATTCATTCTTTCATTACTCACTTCAGTGAGCGTCGCTTAAAGGCGTATGTTCACTAAATAATAGAAGATATAATGTAAAGTGACCTTGTTAACCCAAATTAACCCCCAAAAATTAAGTCAATTAAATAAGTTACGAATAAGGAATCACTTCATATACTATACTACTAATGATGATGATGATGATGATGATGATGATGATGATAATGATGATGATGGTGGTGGTGGCGGCGGTGAGTATGATGATGATTGGAAAAGTAACACTTTAAAATAAATAGAGCCTAACAAAATTAAGTTACAACGACGTCTTTTAAAGGTTGATCGTCTTTCTTGTGCTAAACAAAACACAGGAGCGCATGCTATATTTAAATATACTGTTATATTCTTAGTCTTAAAAAGTCACATCCAAACCATGATTCATTTTTAATAGAAATTTCGTCATCCAGAAAATGTAGGAAGGTCTTGTGGTTCAGTCTCCAATTTTACAGGCTTGATTTTTAATATATTCTAGCAAATATAATAACAAATGATTATTATTACTCATAATTATGTATACTGTACCATGTGAACTATATGATCCAAATATATTGTGGAGTGCCTCGTGTCCATAATGCCGTTACTCAGGTCGGCAAAACGTCCTTTCGGCAACATGTCGGTGAATGCGCTTACCATGTCAGTTATTATGTCCGTTCATCCAATGGTCTTTCAACAAGACATCTTTTCACAGCATTTTGACCAAAATATTTGACGGTAAATATTCTGTCAATGAAGTGACGTATCGGAAAATGATGTGTTGACGAAAGTTCATTTCTCCAAAATTCTGTTGCCGAAACGCTAGTCAGGAAAGGCGAAAGATGACCACCTCTGAAGATGGTGAAAGTTGAAATTTGCCAGAAAAAAGCTCACTGAAATTTCTTTTAACTTTTTAACATATTTTTTGCTCACCCATTGCCATTGCGAACGTTGCGAATGTTTAATAAATCCGTGTCACAATAATAGTACAGTAACAACAACGACGACGACGACGACAACAACAATAATAATAATAATAATACAGTTCGTCCTCCAATTCGAGGCCACTTTGGGACCTCAACATTTCTCCACTTAAGGTTAGCCAGCTTTGTGTTAAAAGATTGACGATTGTTATTTAGTTTTTTGAAAAATTGTTCTCAAATAAGAGGGGTCTCGGAATTAGAAGGGTTTCGAATTAGAGGGTGCACTCTAATAATAATAATAATAATAATAATAATAATAATAAATTATGATGAAGATGTGGATAATACAGTAATGCATTTAATATCTCAATCGATATGCAAAGTGTTTGCAAAGAACTGATAAATTATTAAAACTTTTCGTCAATGTGGGTTTTGACAATTGTTTTATCATTTTGATTTCATCCCATGCCTTATTAAGAACATAAAATGTCAACTGTCTGGTGTCTCCAAGTCGTACACCCACCTTAATTAGTATTTGCATGGAGTTGTTAATAACTCTATGGTATTTTAATGTCCACTCACGAATAGGCATCACAAAATTACAATCAGAATGGGATGGGTTTGGGTTCTCAGCAATTAAATAATTCATATTCGTCAGATTCTTGTTCAGTGTTCTATAGCAATTTCCACATGAAATAAATAATATCTTTGTCAAATTTAAAGCAGAGAGAGTGCAGTACGTATGTACAATAGTATTTCTTTTATTATGTACATTTATTGGCGTTGAATAGGCCTATAAGCCCCCTATTTGAACTTTGATTCTATATTAAGAGATAATTTACTGTCTAATTAGAAAATTTACAGAAATAGTCGAATTGTATAGAAAGAACAAGCATACATATAATCGTATAATGATCTTTAACAATATTTGTGGATTTTAAAATCGATGTACAGTAACCGAGCAAGAGCACTTAGGCCTGTATTTGATATAACAGCAACAAGTCGTACTCAGTACACAAATAAAACTGTGCTTAAAAGCAATAATATCGGAAAATGTTAACAATTGTTAACGAAAATGCTCAATTAAAACTAGAAGACCAAGCATGAAACACATGCATGGATTTAAAATTGAAAAATATAGCTTTCGATTATGTTGTACGTAAATACTACCGATAATTCTCAGTTTAAGATATGATAACGAGGCCTCATGTAAGTACAAAGTCACAAGTATTGCTTTCTTTCGGTGACGTAGCTTCACTCATTGGAGTACCATCAACATGAATATACCGTGCTGACAGGGAACAGGTTATCTGGAATTCAATAAAATGAATGAGAGCATAATTTCCTTGTGACCAAAACCGTCCCAGATCTGGTAGGGAATGTACAGTGGTTCGGCTTAGTGCCATCTGGTAAAAACCGAATTCCGATGTGAAAGGTCAATGGAGATTAGAAAAGGGCAGCATGAGGAGGTCTTTCCAAGCAAACGACTCCCCCACCCCTTTAACTTCCTTGGTCTACCCCAATTTGACACCCCATTTAAAAATGTGTGTAATTGTATTACTCTGTACTAAATGTAAAATTGTAGAATTAGTGCATTCTTGTGGTGCTTTGTATTATATGGGGTGCCATACGCAGCAAAAGTCCATGTTAAAATCAAAATGTAATTGCAAAATTTAGTGTCTAATTTATCAAAACGTATGCGTAAATTTCTCAAAATGTAGATCTAGTTTCCGAAAATGAAGTTCTAATTTTGCAAAACGTAGCTCAAATTTTCCAAAATGTAGTTCTAATTTCTCTGAAATGTAATTCAAATTCAAAACGTAGGCCTGACTTGATCAAACGCCGTCTCCACATTATGTGCGAAAACGTAAATCAAAAACCAGCCAAGCATGACTCCATGATAATAACAACAATAAATAAATGTACATTTGTGTTTTTGATTATAAATTTACAATTGAATGTTGTAAAAGTCTTACCGTTGTACTGATTGTCAACACGCTCATCAGTTGCTGTACTCCCAGTGTAGCCATAGGCCTACTCCCAAAGACGGATGTCCCGAAGCCATCAAGAACAATTCCTGCAGCATACCAATTGACGTCGTATGTTATGTTCCTCTGGTATTGAACATCGAATCTACACTGGAACAATCCAGTTACCTCAACACATTGCGGTGTACATGTGTCAGGGGGTGGATCGGCTAAACATGCAATATTCAAAGTTATTTGATCTATTAAATAATTTATTTAAATATTATTTGAGAAAATTTCTCCTACGTCTAACATTAACAAAATGTTATCTACCAATTTTCATTATACCATCACCAATCACCGCACACCTCCACCAGCACTACCTTATCATTATCATCATCATCACCATCATTTTCATCATCATGTCGTCATCATTATTCTATTGCAAGTTCTTCCAAAGACAAGTAAAGAAAAGAGCTTGGATCTGTAAATCAACAAAACAAGTTATGAATAGGGACATTGGTTAACATGAATTTGTCATTATCCAACCTTTATTATTTACAACCTGTTGATTCCAAGAATACCAGTAACGGACAAATCACCTACCGATTGAGGGCGTATCACATCGTGTATATATAATAATATTGTTTATACGTGGTATAAATTCATTATTATCTTATATTATAGCGGTGTTGACCAGCATTAAGAGTCAATGCTTACGGAAGTGTGCATCTGAAACGTTGCAGGTAAATATCATGTTATTACACAGGTTGAGCAAAAGAAAATTACCCAAAAATACCAGATGAATTTATTTAAAGAAAAATGTTGTTAACATACAGAATTTTTAGATTGAAACTCATAGAGATTCAACAACTCACCCGTACAGTTAGGTGTATAACCATTCGCTGACTTTGTTCCGGGTGGACAAGGTTCGTCTTTACCTGTGAACCGAATTTGTACGCTTTGACTCAAAAGTCGAAATATCTTGTAACAACAGCACTAGTACTCATAAAAACTGATTCGAATGTGAAAGTCATTAAATCAAACAAAATCAACATGTTTGAGGAATCATTAATTTGGCCTTAACAAGTAACTAAATACTACTGATTTATTGTGTCTGTGGTAACATATTATTATTATTATTATTATTATTATTATTATTATTATTATTATTATTATTATTATTATTATTTTATGTATATATATATAAGATAAACAATAAAAAATAAACAAATAAAAGAATTTATCTTGTATCTTATATATATATATATATATATATATATATACATGGCCTACCATAAATA